GCCGGGGCGCGGGCCCGGGGCCGCCTCTAGCCGGCACCGAGGGCGCGGGCCCGGGGATGAGGGCGCCCGCGGCGGGGAGCCCGTCTGCACGCCGCGGCGCCGTCCCGCCCAGCGAGCGAGCCCGAGCAGGCAGACGCGCGGCCGGCGGTCGGGGGGCGCGCCGCCTCCCGGCCCCAAAAATGTGAAGCGGGGAGGGCGGAGACGCAGAGACGGCCCGGCTGGGCGCCCTCGCCGCCCTCCGGCAGCCGCGCCGCTCCCCTTCCCCGCCCGCAGAGGCTGCGCCGACCCCGCCGGCCGCGGCCAGAGCAGCGAAGCCGCCGAGTCCCCGCGCCCCCCCGCCTCGCTCGGACCCGGCTTTGGCCCGCAGCGGGTTCGCTGCCGGGACGTGGCGGGAGCAGGGCCCGGGACGGTGCGTCTGGCCTCGCCCGCGGCTCCTCGCCCAGACAAGTTTGAACAATGATCACAGTCAACCCCGATGGGAAGATAATGGTCAGAAGATGCCTGGTCACCCTGAGACCGTTTCGGTAAAGTTCTTTCCCGGTTGGCGCGGGGAGGTCTTTTTCTCCGAGGGGTCGCCGGGTAGGGGTGGGCGAGGTCGTTCCTGAGAGGGTGCCTGTCCCAGTGGCAGAGGGGGCGGTTCGTGCTTTAACCCCTGTGATGGCCAGTGGGGCTGTGAAAGGGATGGAGCTGAGGTTCGGGTTCGGGTGGGGAGGGGTGGGCAATCTGAGACGGGTCTCGAGTTGGTCTAGGTTGGAGAGGACTCGGGATGCGAGGGTGGGAATGGGTGCAGAAAACACCCAGGTTGTGGTCCTGGGCCTCAGCCCCGGGCGCCCCTTTCCTGCCCTTTGGGGTCCTTCCCACTTTGCAGACGGCCCCACCCGGTGGCGAAGTTAGTACGCTGTGCAGGGCGGCACCCCCACCTAGCGTGCGCCTGGAGCCCTAGGTTGAGTCCTCCACCTGTGCCACCCCTTTGCCCCCGCCTTCTGCTCGCACTCCCCTTCTCGCTGCGGGGTGCGGGCTTGTCTCCAACGGGAAGGTCCTCGAGATTGGAGCAAGGACCTCTCCCAGCCCTTCTGCTGGGAATTCGACCCTGGATCGCTGGCCATGGAGGGTTGGTGGCAGGCGCGGCGCTGTGGAGCGCCAGGGCAGCGGGAGCCGGGGCCTCTGGGAACCTCTGAGGGCAGGATGGAGGCGAAGATCGATCCCCCCCCACCCCAATCTCAGGCGGCCAAGGCTAGGCAAGGGCTGGGGCCACGCAGGGCTGGCTGGTCTCTGTTGAACCCATCCCAGGGGCCCCAGAGCCGGGTAGGGCTGGGGCAGCTCTCTCCTCTCCCTGGAGCCTGCGGAGCTGGCCTGCGGCCTAGGTCAGGGAGGAGATGCTAAGCGATGGGTGCCCAGCGGGATGGGAGAGCCACCTTGCCCAGGAGACTGGGCAGCAGAAGGCACCTAGGGAGGGGTGGGGGTTGCACTCCCCACGTGGCCACGGGGGATGGGTGGGTGCGGGTGCAGTCCACTCTGCTGGGGCAGGAAGTGGGCAGGCAGAGGCTCCAGAGGTTTGGGCTGCAGGAGGGGTGGGTTTTGATCCCCTGCCCCTGCCAGGCCCCCGCTGGTCTCCCTCTCAGCCCCTGGCGGGGAGACCGTGGCTCAGGTGTCTCTGGCCTCCCCAACACCTCCTGGATGTGCTGGGCCTGTTGTGTGGAGCTGAGGAGACAGCTTTCATGAGGGCAGGGGTCATGATGGACCACCACCATCTGGAGCATGCGGGAGGGGAGGATCGTAGAGCTGGCGGTGTTGAGGCTATGGCCTTGGGCAGGAGACAGGGAGGTGGCTGGAGCCCCAAAAGAGCCCCGACAGAAGGTTCACACGGAAACAGGGCGGGAAGCGGGCGACTCTGGAAAGGGCCTTACTCCTCCAGGGAAATCCTCAAATCCCCAGCTGACACTGACCATTTACAGGGTCCTCTTCCCGAGTCTGCCGCCCCATGTCGACCCCGCCTTCCAAGGGAAGGGCCAGCCAACTGGGTGTCCAGCTTTGACTGGACATTTTCTGGTGCAATTGGAGGCAGCCGCGGGAGCCAGCACCACGGACAGCGCCCGCTCCCCGCGCTCCTTCCCTCTGGGGTCCTGACTCTTTCAGGCTCTTATCTGAAGGGAGGGTTCAGAGGTGGGATTGCATAGGTTCCCCTCCCCTCAAGTTGTGTGTCTTCACCTAGTGTCTCCCTAGGCTGCCCAGAGACCCACAGCCACCAGCGGAGTCTTTGTATCCCCTTCAGATGGAGGGGGGCTGGGCTCCCACCACGTCACCTCTACTTCTTAGTTTTGTTTTTTTTTAAAAGATTTTTATTTATTTATTGAGAGAGAGAGAGAGAATGGTAGAGAGAGAGCACGAGAGGGAAGAGGGTCAGAGGGAGAAGCAGACCCCCTGCTGAGCAGGGAGCCCGATGTGGGACTCGATCCCGGGACTCCAGGATCCTGACCTGAGCCGAAGGCAGTCGCTTAACCAACTGAGCCACCCAGGCGCCCTCTACTTCTTAGTTTTTAAGGGCAGACTGGGGGCCCTGTTCCCCCTGTTTTCCCTCTGGCAGGAACCTTATTCTGTAGTTGCTCCTGGAATGTTGCTTGAATAGATACATGGGTGGATGAAACCATTTTAACTTGAATCTACTGTAAATGGCCCTAGTATTGCGGTCTGGCAGAGAGAGATGCGGATGAGGTGTGTTGGGGACTTCAGATTCTGGGCTAAAAGTTTAGACCCCTTTCTCATGGCAGGTGTTTGGACCCTGCAGCCCAGATCCCTAGCTCTAAAAACAGTCCCCATAGCTGTGGAGGGGGTTTGGGGAAGTGACGGACAATAAACTTGAGGAATCTGTCCTTGTCCTCGGGCTGGGAGGACGAATAGCTGATTCCCTCAGGATCTTCCTGGGTGTGCACTGTTTCTCTGGCTACTGTGCTGAGAGCAGCCTGGCTGCATCTTGGGGTCCCAGGGCCCCATCCCCTAGTGTTGTGGAATTCAGTGAGGGGGCCCTCAGAGGTGAGGGAGCAGTGTCTCTTACGCTGTCTCACGTGTTCTTCCTGCCCTCTCCCGGGGGAAGCCCTCAGTGCTTTCTCTGCTTTGGGGGTTCTGCACCGTCTCTGATTTAATCTCTAACAGCTTCATTTAAATATGGGGTGGGAATTTTGTTGTGCTTTTATTTTCTTCTGCAATTGTGTGTTTTCTTTAATGGGCCAAGTTTTAATTAAATACTGCTCTGCCAGCTTCAAATAATGAAGATTAAAATGCATAAGGCAGGTCTTGCCTGGAGATCAAACGAATGTGGGCTTGAGGGTGGCAGGTGGAGGTGAGAGGGCTGGAGGCCTCTAGCGTGATTTGTGGGGGCCCCCTGTGGTGAGCCTGGCTCCACATGAGATGGGGTTCCTCATCCTGACCAGGGTGGGGGAGTCCCCTTTCAGCTCTGCCAGGTTTGCAAGTCCTCGGATACATTCAAGGTCCCAGAACAATGCCACCTCTGGCCTCCCCCACGTTGGTTAGCTCAGTTCTCCTGTTTGGGACCCAGCACATGGTGAGGAAGCAGCAGGAGCCTGGGGTTCCCTGCTGTCCCCCTGGGGCTACCCCAGTGCCTGGCACCTGGGAAATACTCAACTGTGTGTTGAAGGAATGAACACAAGAGTCCTGTTTTGCCCAGCTCTCCTGACCCGTGCCCCGGATGACCCCCCATGCACTGGTGTCCACTCACTCTGCCCAGTCCAGTGCGGACAACTACTTTATGTGTCTGCCTGGTAAAGATGTGGGTTAGGGAGACTCTGGGCCCTGCCCTTGTAGATCTTACCCTCTGGTAGGGATGGGGGCACACGCCACCCCCCTCGAACATGATAAGGAGGTGTTCAAGCGAGCGCTGTGGCAAGACCTGTGTGCACAGCACTGAGCCGGGCCCAGGTGATTGATGGGATCCAGGTGGGTTTCGTCTGGACCAATTACTTGCCCTCTGGCTGGCATCAGCGCCTGCTGTTTCCATCTATACCAGTGGTTCTCAAACTTTAGCATGTATCAGGATTGCCTGGAGAGCTTGTTAAAACACGTTGCTTGCACCACCCCCAGAGTGTCTGATTTGGTAAGCCTCGGACTGAAGCCCAAGATTTTGCATTTCTAACAATCCCAAGGTGATGGGTGCTGCTGGCCTGGGGAGCACACATTGAGCACCTCTGCTAATGAGCCAGGCTCTATCTGAGGCTGGAACTTGCCTGAGCTATGCCTGTATCATTGTCCCTTGGGGTTTTGTGTGAGCCTCATGGCCAGCTCCTTGTAGTCGAGCTGTCTTTATTCCAGGCTCAGCCCTGGATCTTTTGTTCCTCCATCCATCTGTTCCATCCTCACTCCCTCACCCACTCATTTGTTCAGAGCCTTTGCTGGATAGGGGTGCATTCCACTGACTTGTTTCTGACCTGCCCTGTTGCTCTCTGCAGGCTCTTTGTCCTGGGCATCGGCTTCTTCTCACTCTGCTTCCTGATGACGTCTCTGGGAGGCCAGTTCTCTGCCCGGCGCCTGGGGGACTCCCCCTTCACCATCCGCACAGAAGGTATCTTGTTGGGAAAGGGGAGTCCGAAATGGGTGCAGGTGTTTGTGGGTTGAGGAGAAGGAGGCCCTTGAACCTAGCAACTCAAGGGACTCCCTGGGGCTCTGTCCCAGGGATCCAGGCCACCACATCTATGGACGTGGGAATGGAGAGGGGCCTTGGCTCAGGCTATGTGACCCCACACACTGTTTTGGCTTTGGTGCCGGCTGTGATCATCGGGCTTCTTCTGGCCCAGACTCTCCGGCCAGGGATGGGGCTTTGAGTTAGGGCTTCCCAGGCATCAGAAGAGGCTGCTTGAGTTGCTTCTTTAGTGTGTTTGTGGAGGGGAGTGTTTCTGAATGACACTTGTCCCTTTGAGACTCACATACTCTGCTTTTGACCCAGGCAGTGGCCACAACCGAGGGGGTGGGGGTGGGAGAGGCAGAGGGCGGCCTGGCCATGGGCTCACGTGTCTTATCCCTGAGCTCTTGGGACACAGTCCAGACCTTTGTGGCTCCTTGTGAGGCGGTGGAACAGGGGTTCAGAGCACGGGCTTTGGGGACCAGATGGACCTGGTTTGTACCCTGTTTCATTATCTACCAGCTGTGTGCCATTGGCCAAGTCACTTAACTCACCTACAGGGAAGGAAAGGGGTGGGATTGAATGAGCTCACGTCATGGGGGTGTGATGGGGTCCAGACCTGGGAGACCTCCTGAAGATGGGCCCTCCTCCCTTCTCTTTCTACTCAGTGAAGAATGGCAAACAGTGCAGAGTCCTGCTTAGTGGGTCACGGGGGCTCTTCTAGTCACCATGGGAAGGAGGGACACAGGGTGATGGGGCAGCTGGGGCAAATAGGGTTTCTGGAACTTCAGTGGGCTGGCTCGATGGGCTCTCCCCTGCTACTCTGGGGACATCTCTGGTTGAAGTCCACTTTCTCAAACCCTTAAGGCCCAGCTGTGTGGCTTCCCTGTTCCCAGTGGCAAATATACCCTCAAGGAGCATGGGCTGTTGTCTAGGGTGGTGCTCTGAGGGGCACTTGTTATGCCATCTGGCGTCTCATCATTAGATCCAGTCCTTTGGTTTAACATGTACTTCTTTAAACTTGCAAAGCTCCTGGCAGGAATTTCACATTTATTAGTCATTCAAGCCTGAATGTAAATTAATGTATCCCACCTCTGACTCTCAGAGATGCGTCAGTCTCTCTGAGCTCCAGTTTTCTCCTCTGATAAATGGGGACGATACCTGTGTGCCCAGGATTGTCATGAGTCATGTTAAGATAACACATATGAAGGGGCTTGAGCAGCATCTGGCAAATAGTACAAGCTCCATCAATATTTATTGGATGTGTTCAATCTGAGATGGGGACACTGCAGAAAAGGTTGTTTAGGGAAAAGGGCTGAGGAGATGCTGGGATTTCTGCATAGGAGATAGGCTTGAATTGAGGCTGAAAGGCGGGGGCACGGTTGTGAAGGCACACTTGAGGGGCAGCTTGGGGAGGGGTACTGGAGGTCATGGGTGTGGGGGTGGATGATGGGGGACATGGAGTGTGAGGAGATGGGGTGTAAGGAGCGATGCTCAAGTCACTTCTGGAGAGGGGGCGTGTCTGCCTGGGTGGCTGCTACAGGGGGCTTGAGGAACCTGGACCTCCAGAAATGTCAAGGATCCAAGAGATGGGAATGTATGGCTGGGCTCTGGTTCTTCTGCTCATCTCCCTGGCAGGGGATGGGGCCAGTGCCCCAAAGTACAAGGGGCTTGTGGGAGCCCTGCCGAGCCGTGCACTGTGCAGTTTTGCCTGGTAGAGGAGGTAGGAGTCCCAACTCCAACCAGATCTATGTCTTAGGTTGGGCAGAGCCCTGGAGGGGAGAGGACTTCCCCAGGGTCACACAATTAGATTAGAGGCGTGTGTGTGTGTGTGTGTGCACGTGTGCTCACGCGCTCCCGTGTACATGCTCCAGCTTTCCACTGGAGCTTACGCTATTTTGCAGAATATCCACAAACTGAACGCATCATGCAACCAGCAACCTAGACCAAGAAACAGAGCGTGATCAGCCCCCAGAGGTGCCCTCATGGCTCCTCCCACTCATTACTTCCCCAGGGATGTCAGGACCCTGACTTCTCACAGCCCAGAGCTTTGCCTGTTTTTCAGATTTTATGAGAATGGAATCACATAGTGGCTTTTCTTTTGTGTGTGCCGTTTTTTCCCCTCTTGTTATTACATTTGTGAGAGTCATCCGAGTCGGGCTGTGTGGTTGTAGACATTTGTCTTCACTGCTGTTGTGTGAATTCCATTGTGTGAATGCACCGCGTGATGTTTACCCACTCGACTGGTGGTGGACATTTGGTGTTTCCAGTCTGGGGCTGTGTGGCTAGTGCTGCTGGGAACATTCTGGTACCTGTCTTCTGGTGGACACACACAGGCATTTCTGTTGCGTACGCAGAAGAGTGAAGTGGCTGGGTCTCCGGTCTGTTGTGACATCCGTTCTCGGAGCTGGTTCAGCCACCCAAAGCCTTTTCACATTTCCCGGTCCCTGGGCTGGAAGCTAAGTGCCTAGAATGTGGAACTGAAGGTGGGGAGGGGGAGACGGACAGGGAGGGAGGCCTGAGACTTCCGGAGAACTGACCCTGACTCGGTCCACATCCCAGTTTCTTTGTCCCCCCTGGTTTCTTTCACGCTCTCGGATTAAGTCGATTTTTTTTGGAGAGACCCAAAGCAGGGACTTGGAAGAGCCCCAAGTTTACATTGTGGGTTTAACATCCTGATCCTGCAAAACAGGCCTCCTCAAAGACACCCCCACACTATGCCTGGAGCAGCCCTGCAGGAGACCTGGGAGGGGCCAGCATTTCTGCCTGGAAGCCACCTGAGCTGGAAGGGGGGCAGGTGGAAGGGGCTTAGGGAGGGAGACTGGAGGTCATGGGTGGGGGTTGGGTTGTTGCATTGCTTTAGTTCCCCGGCGTCTATGCAGACACAGGGCAGAATCAGGAGAAGGAAACTCAGGAAGGCACTGCCATTTAGGAAAACAAAACAGAACAAGATCCTTGCATTGGTCAACAAAACCATCTGAGCACAAATGGGGGAAACAGTCTGTCGTGTCCTGGCCTGTCAAGCCTGTGAGGGAAGGGGTCCCCCCAGGACGAGGCTGTGTGGGGAGAAGTAGGGTGTTCTTTAAAAGGAGGAGGGCCCTACTAGAGCCTCTGTGGACTGTGGTCTCCCGGAGGAGGCTCTGGATTCCCCTCGAGGCCAGTTTATGTTTTGTGATAAAGTTCTCTAGTTTGGGGATAAAAATGTGACAGACCTCTCCTTCTATATTCTGCACACTCGTCTTAAGATTCAGGGGGGAAGGAGGCTGACAGGAAGCATGACTCGGAGAAGTCTAACCTCATTCCCTCTTGCTGCAGGTGGGCTTGACTTGGGCCTTGGGGGAGGGTTTTCTCTCCCAGATGGGGAGGGGTTTTTGCTTGACCCCCCACCAGACCCCAGTCCCTCCTCCCTGCCTCCTGGCTCCACTTCCCCTCTCTTGTCCTAAGGAGGAACTTGCTTCCCTCTTAGGGACGGGGGTGGGATGTGAAGTTGTGTGTGAGGCCTCTCTTCTGCTGTTGCTGCAGGTTCCCCGAGCCTGTGTGCCCGGCTGTTACCGGCTCTCTATCTTATCTGGAAGGAGTAGAGGTCAGAGGCTGTCTCTGGGGAGAGGACCGCAGGCGGGAGGGCCTGGGTTCAGCTGCACGTGGCTGCCCTGAGGTTACCCTGGGGCCTGGCCCTGCCAGACCTTCCAGCCCCCCGGCTGGGATTCGAGCCTGGGGAATATCAGAAAAATATTTCCTTGCTCCGTGGCTGGCTCTGGCCTTGGACCTTGGTGCTAGAGAGCTCTTCCCCTCAGAGGCTGGTGATGGATGTGTGGGCCAGGGCCCAGGGCCTGTCCTTGTCTCCTCTGCTGCCCCGGGCCCCGAGCCCCGAGCCCCGAGCCCCGAGCCCCAGTGGCCTCAGCTGGCTTCTGATGTGGCTGTGTGCAGACGGACAAATGTGCTCATTTCTCCAGCTGGGCAAACACTAAGTCACAGCCCCTGTCTCAAGGGCCAGGGAGGTCTCTTTTATCAGGTGAGGTGGGGTCTCCTTCAGTTTCTAGGAACCAGCAAGAAAGGGTTGGGGTGGGAACAAGAAAGGGGGACAAGGCAGGGGACAAGGGAAGATTGGAGGGACAGACAGACAAGCATGTCCCTGTCTGGAGCGGAGGAGAGCCGAGGGGAGGGGCCTGGGTGGGTAATAAAGCACCTTTGTCTGTAACCGCTGAGGAGCCATCTCTACCTCCTGGCACCCCGGCTTTCCTTATTTATATGGAAATATGGAGGGAATGCTTGTGAGTCTTGCGATGTGTCGCCGGGGCTTCACATTAAATACATTTCAATTTGGCCAGGAGCAGTGGGAGCAGTGAGGTGACTCAGGCGAGCCGTGGCGAGCTTGCTCCGCGGACAGTCGGGGGTGGGCGGTGGCCGCAGGGAGCGTGTCCTGCGTGTCTTGTGGGAAGCCCCCCCGGGTGGGCAGCTTCCAGTCTGTGCCATCTGCAGATGGCAGGGGCTGCCCTGCGCCCCGGGGACCGGGGAGGGTCTCGGGCTCTTGGTCCAGTCTGATGGAGGTGTCCTTACAGACCCATCCGAGAGGGACAGTGTATCTCCTTAGCCGCATCCCTAAGCCCTTGGGTCTTCTGGGGTCATTCTTTCTGTTGACATTTTCAGAGAATTGGCTTAATCCCTCCTAGGAGGGGCGATGCAGAGCCCCACATATCTTCAGGGATTCTCTGGGGGGCTTATGTGCCCCTGGCCACCTCTTGCTCTGAGCTCCTGCTTCTGTGAATTATCCTGCTCAGTTTCTCTCCTCTTGTGTCCCCTTTGTGCCTGACACTGAGCTAGCGGGAAGGGTACCCTTTCCCCCAGTTCCTGGCACAGAGTGGGGACGATGGCATGGGGGCTGGGACCACTGCTCAGCACAGCCAGCAGATGACTGTTCCCTCTTGCATCCCTGCAGCTGGAGACCCCCACCCCCATCCCGCATGGCCGCTTTGGCTGCCCCGCCGCCCCGGCCCTGAGCCCCTGTGCCTTGTTCTCTCCCCTCCTCTCCCAGACTGAACCAGGAAATCTCCAGTCTTCCGACTTGAATATGCAGAGTCATTTCACTTTCTCTTTGTCTCACTGCTCTGGGCATCTAGACTCCTAGACTCTGCTCTGGCCCACCCAGGGTTTAGTAAAACACAACTGAGCTGTCTCCCTAAGGGGATTCTGCCAGCTTTTATAGGAAAAGTTCTTTCATCTCCTGTTACCCTAATCTCGAGAGAGGCAAATGGGGCAAGAGCCAAAACAGGAGTCCCGGCCCATAGAACCTCAGGGTTCAGTAAATCCAACGCCCTCATTTTGCAGGAGGAGAAACTGAGGCCCAGAGAAGGGAAGTGGCATGTCCATCCATCCCGCACCCATGCGGCCGGTGACAGCAGGTGGAGTGCAGGCTTTGTCACTCCCGCCCCAGCCTGTCCCCCGCCACGGTGCTGCCCCGGCTTTGCCTGGCTTCTGGGGTCCTGCAGCTCTTGGCCAGGTGGGGCAGTCATTTGCCCCAGCAGCTATTTTGCAGCCTGTGTGTGGGGCTGGGAGTGTGTGTGTGTGTGTGGGGGGGGGCTGTGTCAGTGAGGTTCCAGGGAGGGGCTCAGGCAGTGAGGAGGAACCAAGGAAGCTCAAGATGAGCTTGGACAGAGGAACAGCAGTGTGACAGGGTAGGGTGCCAGGCTTGAGACATCCTGGGGAGCATAGCACTGCTCTAGAAGCAGTGATGTGGGCTCAGCATCCCCGGGGTGCCACATCTGCAGGAGCGAGCTGCTGCCCAGGCTCTGTGGTCCAGCTGGGCCTGGGTACTCTGGCCAGGTCATGGTTGGGGGGCCTTGGTTAACAGGCTCTGACTTAGGATGTCTCCAGTTGTGGTCTCACTCTCCTTTTTTCATGCCATGCCTTTGGGGAAAGGACCACCCCAGCCTGAGCTGTGAGCATTGGCTCATCAGGGTTGCCCAGGGAGGCTGGCCAGGCTGTGCACTGCGCAACTCCAGGAGTGGTACCCAGTAGCGGCCAGGTCAGATCATCTGATGTTCCCCTATTTTTCTAGCTGAGATGATGCACCCCCCCCGCCACCTTTGTTTTACTCTATGCTCCAAGCACTAGTTGAAAGCCAGGTATTACGTTTGGATGGATGCTGGGCTTGGGTGGGGGTCTCAGGGATGAGAATGATTTGAAAGACTAACCTTCACCCCCAACTCTGTGGAGTTGAAAGAGAGGGAGCTATTCATATCTTCTTGGATTGATTGACTAACTGGTTGAGTCCTGAGCGAGTGGGGTGGGGCAGAACGGTGGGAGAAACTTGCTTCACTTAACACGGTGGTGAAATTTTCCAATCTCAACTGGTTTATTAAAAATCCACCCAGTTTTCTGAGAAGGGAAAGTGGGAAGACTGCTAGTTATTTCAGCTACTAGTGTGGAGATGGGGTAGAGATGGTGTTTCCTTCCTTCCTCTAGATGTGCATTTTTCACCAACACCTGACCCCACTCTTTCTCATTCTTGGACAACTGTGTGTGTGTGTGTGTGTGTGTGTGTTTTGGAGCCAGGGATCCTAGCTTTTGTAAGGAAACTGCAGCTCCCCAATGCTCCGGATTCCATGGCATGTGAGGGAACCCTCCCCGGCTCCTGGTGGCCTCCCTTCTGACCTCAGGTGGACTGAGTCAGCAGGGGAACCGAGCCAGGAGGTGACTTAGTCAATGAGAGAAAGTGGCAGTAGCCACTGGGCCAGCTCAGGCCCAGAGCCAGGCGGTCTGGGAGACAAGCAAAGCAGAAATGTCACAAGCAGCCTTGGTGACATGAAGCCTGTCTTGGCCCCCCTCTTCAGCTCAGTCCTAAGCGTGGAGCAGGGGAGACCAGCCCCTCGGGCTCCTCTCTTCTCCCCACCTCTGCCCCTGGGTCCTTGTGACCTGCCATGCTCCCTTCTGCCCTCTCCTGGCATGGTGACAATGGTAGGCAGACAGGACCTGGTATTGTTGACTTGAGTTGGGGACCCAGAGGCTGATAGTGTTGCCATGACTGTCCCTGGGCCACAGAGTCCCACTGAGGGGGGGTGTGACAGAGGCAGGTGAGAGCCTCTCTTAGCTCACTGGGCCCTGGCCCTTTCTTTCCAGAGAAGCATATGCTGCTGGTGCCCGAGCCCTTGGCCCCCGCGATTCCCATGCACACGGCCAACTTGCGGCTGCTGGTGATGGTGGTTCCTTGCTGAGGGATTCTTAGCCACTGCAGCTGGCTGGCCACCCCACGGCCGGTGGGAAGTAGCAGGAGTTGGCTGTCTCCGGGAGCCACCCTCAAGCAGTGACCGTCAGGAGACGGTGTGCACATGGCCCTCTTGCCCCCAGGGGGAGAACTGTGTGCAGACTCAGCACCTGCTGGTTGCCCCAGTTTGGTGACTCGCCCTCTCCGGGCTGCCTCCCCCTCCCTGTGTCACCTCCTTACTCCCTCACCGGGGTTTCCTTTACCTCTCATATTCATGACTTGCCCTCAAGCCCTTGTCTCGGGGTTTGCTTCTGGGGAACCCAACCTCAGGCCCTCCCGCCCCCGGAAGCCCCTGGAAGCATTCAGGTCTCCATGACTTGGTTCCTTTGCTGTGAGAGGTTCAGAGCTGGCCCTTGGGGGATGCAGGGAGCCAAGTTGGGGATTGCGGTGCCTGGACCTGAGTATCTGTGGACTGTTTGGAGGGACTGTTAAAACCTTCACATGAGGGCGCCTGGGTGTCTCATTCGGTTAAGTATCTGCCTTCAGCTCAGGTCATGATCCCAGGGTGCTGGGATCGAGCCCCATGTGGGGCTCCCTACTCAGCGGAGAGTCTGCTTCTCCCTCTGTCCCTCCCCCTGCTCATGCTCTCTCTCTCGCAAAAATAAATAAATAAAATCTTAAAAAAAAAAGAAAAAAAAACCCTTCCCATGACTTGATTGAAAAGAAAGGCAGGGACCACTCTCCCACCCTGGTGTGTGTGGCTCCAATGATCAGGAATGACTAGAAAGGAAATCGTAGGGAATCTTGGCTGGTTAATGGGATCTTTGTTGAAGCCCTTGTTTTCATTTAATTTTATTCTTCACAAGGTCTCCCTTGCCCCTCAGCCCAGGAGTTGATCTTTGGGAACCCGAAGACCAGCTGAAAGTCTGGACAAATTCACAATGGTTTTCTATTGGGGGGGTCTGGGAGAGTGGAGTGGGGAAGGGGTCTGGTGGGCCCAGAGGCTGGCAGGAGAATCACAGGGCCCTGAGCCCCTTGAACATGGGCTCACAGCCTCTTCTGTGCATGCACACCACGTGGGGGCCAAGCAGAGTGCAGGGGCCTGGGCCCCGGGCCCTAGAGATGGGAATCTGCAGATCGAGTCTAGGGCCCGAGAATCTGGATTTTAACAGCCTGGCCAGGAGACTCAGGTGCAGAGTGGATGGGTGAGTGCACTTTTGGAAGCCCTGATCCAGAAGTCCTGTCTGGACCTCGGTGCTGGGGGCCCTAGGGTTCCTGTCCCCCACCCCCGCCCTTCCCTGTCTTCTCACAGACTTGAGATCAGGTATAAAGCTCCATTTTGCAGGCAACAAAACAGAGGCCCAGAGACATTAAGATGATCTCAGTGTCACCCAGCTGGTAGGGAGCAGGGTTGGCCCGGGGCTCTGTACCCCAACACAGCAAAGCGGGGGATTCCCTGTCCTGCAGGGGTGAGGGGTGGGGTGGGCTCATTCTCCCAACCCCTCCTTTGCCTGGGAAAGTGGGAGTGGGGCTGGAGTCTGAGAGCCACCGGGTGGCTGCGGCCGAGGCTGACTGCCCACGCTCTGTCTGCAGTGCTGGGAGGGCCGGAGTCCCGCGGCGTCCTGCGCAAGATGAGCGATCTGCTGGAGCTGATGGTGAAGCGCATGGACACGCTGGCCCGGCTGGAGAACGGCAGTGAGCTGCACCGGGCTGCTGGGGACCAGCACTTTGCTGTGGACAGGTAAGGGGTACAGGGAGGGGGAGGGGGATTCGGGGGGAGGGGGCACCACGCCGTGTGCTGGGCAGCCTCAAAATGCACTCCAGAGCTGGGGGGGGTGGCACTATCGGTCAGCCCCCTTTTTGCTAACCCGGCAAAAACTTTTAAGAATACAGAAGCCACACAGTAATACAACCCAGAGCACTTTTCCACCGCCATACTTAACAGCTGTTAACATTTTGTCATGTTGGTGGCCCGACGTCCTTTTCTCCTTTTTAATAAAAATCACAGGCAAAAGCTGGAGGGACCTTTCCCTGCTTCCCCGTGGAGATAAGTGCCTTCCTGAGTTAGGTGTCCATTCTTCCAGTCGGCAGTAACCGTTGGCGTACACACACACCATAAACACACAGTGTGGGGTGTTCGTGGGCCGCATGTGAGTGGTATCCCACAGTGCATTTCCTGCACCTGCGTTTTCCACTCGACACGACAGTTTTGAGCTCTGTCCACTTTGACAGTCACGTGTGGGATGTGCATATGGATGGGATGGCCCAGCAGTTGTCTGTCCGACACCGATGGGCCCAGGCCATTTTTGCCAAAAAGAGTTTCTTGGTTTATTCATTCTAAATATTCCCCCACCGAGTCTCGAATGTCCAAAAATCTCCTAGAGTGGCCCCTGGAGTCCGCGGTGTGAAACCAAATCGTGTGTCTTGGGTGTGTGAGTGACCTGGAACCCCGGGGAAGGAGGACGTGTGAAGTCAGGGCCATCCCAGTGGGGAGTCTTGGCCCTAGGCTCAGCTGCGGAGAGAGGGGCTTGCTGCCCACCCACCCCAGGGAGGTGGGCTCCACATGGCCTCTTTTCAGTATCAGGGATCTTTGTGAGGTGGGTTTGCTCCATGTGTTCTAACTGCTAAAAAGTAAGTTTGAAACCCACACTTCACACGATTTAGGAAAAGCTATACCTTGGCCGGTGTGACTTGCTAAAAGTGTTCTGCTGCTGAAAAATATAGTTGAAATCCACACTTCTAGACAATTCTTAGGAAAGCTGTAGCTCAGCCAATATGTGTGATGGAAAAGCCAAGTCCCCAGGCATTTCCTGTTTGGAGTTTGGCAGAATCAAGGTTAAAGTGTTGGCGGCCAGTCCTGGTCATGGTGGGACCCTGCTGGCCTGGGGAAGGGTGTGTGTGTGACGGACCCCTCCTTTGGACTGGCGGGGGGTGGTCCTTTGCCCCGGAGCCTGTCTAGGCTGGGCTGCTGGCCGTGGCACCCATCTCACACTGGCCCTGCTGATCGAATGTCCTGGAGGCCCAGCTGGGTCACCGGATGTGGGCGTGACTACCGTCATACTAGGTGGCACTTACCAGAAGCTCACCGAGGGCCCAGCATCATCCTTACTGCGTTACCTCAATGGTGTCGTCAGTCCCACGCCCGCTTTATGGGTGCTTCCATCTCTGCCACATCAAGGAGGGAACTGAGGCCCAGAGAAGTTCAGGAACTCACCCAAAGTTGCACAGCTGCTAAGGGGCTGGGCCTGGCTCCGCGCCTAGGCCAGCAACTCCAGAGCCCATGTTTCTAACCACTGTGCTCTTGGTAGCCATTCACTAAACATGCGGCTACGTGCAGGTTAGTTTTTATTCCTTCGCAAGACTTCTCAGATCAATGACTTCACAGCTCAGGGGGACAATACCCTTCATTAGCTCCTTGCCTTGATTTTCTTGGTTTGGAAAACGTAGGCACTGAAATGGTAGTCGTGGAGCCTGGGGTGACACGTGATGCTAGTGTCCGGAGCCTCTCCCAGTGCTTGGCTCCTGAGTGGGCTGCGGGGCCGTGCGCTGGCTGGATGCTCTCTCGCCATCCCAGGATGAGTATCTGACAGAGCAAACCAAACCGATCCGCTCATGAAATATGTCTTGGACCTGCTTAGTGCCAGGCACGGCCAGTGGCATTAGGGGCCCAGCGATGAGCCTTGTCCTCACTCCTGTGGAGAAGCCGGGCAGTCACCGAGAAACAGAAATAAGTGAGACAAGATGAGATACTGATGCCTGCTCTGGAGGGTTAGGGGCGGGTGCCGAGGAAGGAACTGGTCACACAGGGCGCTCTAGGAAGCCCATTCTGAGCTGGTGATACTTAAGCTCCATTCTGAATAATGGGAGGGAGTCAGCCACACGAGGAGCTGGGAGTAGAGAATTTGAAGTAGAGCGAGCAACAGGTGCAAAGGCCCTGGGGTAGGAGTAAGCTTGGTATGTTGGAGGAAAAGAGCCACTCTGAAAGCCAACATGGCAGAGTGGGGTGAGGGACAGGAGAGGCCAACAGGGCAGGTGACATAGGCTTTGTCAGCTGTGGCGAGGACTTGGGACACTATTCTGAGAGGTGTGGGAGTTTGCCAGAGGGCTTACAACCAGGGAGTGATAGGATCTGGCTTCTTTTTTTAAAAGATAGCTCCAACTGCTGTGTGAAGAAGGGAAGCAGGGGGGGCTGGTGGCAGAAATGGGGAGAGGGAGGTAGAAGGATTGGGCTCCCCTGGGGTTCCCTCTGGGGCATGAGGTCATTTTCTCCTCTGTGTGCAGAGTCCATCATCCTGTCTGCTGTCTGTGTCCCTCTAATCCAGCCCCTCACCCTCATAGCATCCTTTGCCCTCTCCTGCCTGCCCCCAGCTGGCTGCCACCTCTCTGAGCTGCTGACCCAGCCTCTATCCACAGGGCTGCTCACCAGGGTGAGGGCAGAACACCGGCCCGCTCTCCCTCCGCGGAGCATCCTGCTGTGGGCGGCAGAGCTGAGGGTCAGGTGGCCTGCCTTTTTGGGCGGGGGGAGCTACTGTTAGCTCGTTCAACTGCCTCTCTGGTTTCTTCCAGTCCTGGCCTCTCCCTCCCTCCCCTGCCCTGCCCTTCATCTCCTTCGGAGGGGAGTCCGTGCCACCTCCTAGCTCCATCCCGGGAAATAGCAACGATCCATCAAGACCAGCAGAGCCCATCAAACCCCATAGGCAAAGCCATAAATTTCAGGGACATTGTTGCTTCTGGTTTCAGGGAGAGAAATGGTGGGTGTGTCCAGGGCACGTTGCGGGGGTGCTGCTCGCTCACACCTCACCTGTGTGCAGACACTCCAGCCCCTGCCCCATTTTACCCCCCTGGAATGACCTACCTGGGCTAGGCAGGCGGGAGTCCTGCAGACGTGCGTGCTGCTGTGTTTCCAGCAAACTCTTTTCACCTGCACTTGGATTCGTCACTTCGCAGTGATCCGTGGCCTAAGCAACCCCCACAGTCCTTCCCCTGCCTTGCTGGAAGCTTCTGGACTATTGCCTCCTACCCCTGGTTGGTATGTCCTCGGGGAAAGCAAATTTGCTTTTTTAGCCTAGGAAAACCTAATTAGGGGTTATTTGCAGATTTGCTGCAAATGGCATCATATTATGTATCCTAAAGCCAAACAGTAATGATCTCTGAATTTCCCATAAGGCTTCTCTGCAGTAGCAAAAACGACCAACATTTCAGGCTGTTTTCATTGGAGTCAAATATGAGTCCGTCACTGCTGGACGCTTCTGTGTGTGTGGAGTCCGGGCCGGGGTTTCTGGAGCCCTCTGTTTTCAGAGGGACCCTGCTGGGGAGGGGCAGCTGGCACCCGGCTGTGTGCACAGCGAGAGAGTCGGAGCGGCAGGGCTGTGCTGGAGCGTCCGTCGCTCACTGCAGCGAGGGGCGGACTCGGGTGGCCGGCAGCAGGTCGTGTGACTTCCCTGAGCCCCACTGTCCTCACCTGCCAGTGAGAGACAGCACTGAGGAGAGGGGAGACCCTGCCTCCCCCGCCAGCCCCCCGCTCTGCCCCAGCCCTGTGGCTTCACTTCCTTCTCCGCTGGGCGAGCTGAGAGAAAAGGGGCGAGCTGACCACGTTTGGGAGGGCCTAGAACCCCCAGGGAGGAGAGGAAGTTTGGGGTGAGCCTGCTGGAAGTGGGGGAGGGGGCATTTTAACAAAGTAGAACAAGCCAGGTGTTCCAGACAGAGGCAATGAGCAAAACCACCCGTAAAGCTCAGATGTGGGACGAGGGGCTGGAGGACCTGGTGAGTGGGGGGGGGCGAACTCCATACTCGAGGGCTGTGAAAACCATCTACAGACTCTAGACTCCCCAGTTTGTGTCTTCAGTCCCAAATACCCGCATGCCCACCCAGCTGGGTGTCCCGGGAACAACCCAAATGCAGTGTCTTCTGGACATGCCCGAGCCCCACTCCTCCCCAGCCCTCCCGCCCCAGGCCATGCCAGTCTTATCACTTCCATTGCCCGGACCCCCAACCTTGGAGTCAGCCTCGACCCTTCTGTCTCTCGCTTGTATCGCGTTCAGCAGCAAATTGCCCCCCACCTGCAGAATGTGCCGGAATCCCATCTCTCCCCACTGCCCTCCTCCCACTGATTCCCAACTCAGCAGCCAGAGAGATTATTTTAAAATACCAATTTGGTCAGGAGCCTCCTGTGTTCCCCACCTCCCCCATAGCTCCCCATCAAACCCCAGCCTCTCCCATAGCTCCCCAAATGCGCCCAGCCCTGTTGTCTGTCTGGCTCCTCCCCTGCTCTCCTCCCATTTGCTCCCTGGGCTTCAGCCCCCCAGCCCCCCTGTTCTTGCAGCACAGTGGTCTCCCTCTGGCCACAGGGCCTTTGCACAGGCTGTGGCCTCTGCCTGGAAAGCTCTTTCCTCAGATCTGGCCGGGTGAAAGAATCCTTTTTCTTCCTCCCATGGTTTTCTCCCTCCCCTTCCTCCAGTTTTTCTCGAATGTCACCAACAGGTCCTTCCCAGAGGACCTATTTCAATTTGCACCCCCTCTCCCAGATTCCCCATCCCTTTCGTTCATCACCACCTCACCCTGTGTATTTTCACGATTTGCTTGTTCACTGTCTGTCTCCCGAGCTGGACCGGATGTTCTGTGAGGGCGGCGGAGATTTTGGCCTGCCTCACTTCTGGATCCCAGAGTTCAATAAGGACTTGGTGGAGGAAGGACGGGAAGAGAGGCCGTGTGCATGCCCTTGGGTGCTCTGGGGGGTTGTGC